CTTTAAAGATATTTTAAACCCCCTACCCTCCTTCCTGAAATTTATAAGATTATATAAAGCCACCAATGAAAGAAGGCCTCATTAAAATTTGTAACGAATTGTTTTAAGAAATTAGGTTAAAAAAAGTCTTTATTATAAAAAAAATAAAATATTTAGCATTTTTATATTTAATTTTTCACATTTAAAATTGATAAGGTATATTATGTTCCTAAAAAAGTAATATGCTTGGAATTAAATGTATACATATGTTAAATTTTGAATAAAATTAAAATTTATTTGATTAGATGGAATATTTGTAGAAATCTTCAAAATAAAATTATTTGAATATTTTAGCAAACAAAAGGTTTTTTATTTCAAATTTATTTTTTAGGTTAGTAAAATTGAGTGTATCAAAAACACAAGCCACTATTTATTTACTTCTAAAAAAATTCGAACCGGGCTAATTTAAAAATAAATTTAAATTATATCGATTTTTCTATTGTAAATCATATAATTTAAACGCTTAATATTCATTTATGCTATTCATATTATTCTAAATATGCCTTTGAAGCAATAAGACGGCCATAATGATTCAAAATTAACTTATCAAAAATACAAAAAAGGCCGGGCCTAAAAAAACCCCGTCTCGACCTCTCCATATCTCTAGAGTATAATAATGAACCGTTTATAAAATTATTTTAGAGTAAAATAAAAATTGTGTTAACGGAGAACTAGCATATACTATTTAAAATTAATATGTTGACCTTACAGAAAAAAACGTAGCGATTTAATATATTGTCAACTCTCGCCATTTTGATAGGTTAACAACTTTAAAATAAGTTGATTTTAATAATGTTTCATACATACAGCACAGATCTCCAAAAATTGAAATATTATTGATTCCATAAAACATAAATGTTTATTTAAATTTTTTAAAATTTATTATTTAGCAAGGCGAGACCTGACAAATTATTTAACGTGTATAATCCTATGTCTATCAAAAAAAAAATTCTATCCTAAAACATTTATTTATTTTTTAGGATTTTAATTTAAAATATTAACACGTTACTTATAAATATAATGTTCAGTTTTGTTTTCATCCGCTGAGACATTATATTAAAAATATAGATAGGAAGGGGTGCGATAAAATTGAGAAAAATTTGAGATAACAAATAATTTACTGCTATCATAAATTTGGTCAACAAATTTTGGAATAATTTATGTAATACAATAAAATAATAATACAATCTTCTTTCTTACTTTCTTATTCATTCATTCACTTTCTTTTTTCAGGTAACTTTAACCTTTAACCTACTTATATTAAATAGTAAGCGTAACCAGTTTTAAAAAAGTATATTATTGTATTTCTGTTTTGTATAGGACAAATCACATTATTAATGCACTATGTCAAATTACAATATTTTTTTTTAAAAAAAAGAAGTCATATTATAAAAAAATGAATATATAAATATAAATACAATTTGATGGTAACAGGTTAAAATAATTAAATTATGATCGTGGAAGTATTTGATTTACTAGGTTTCGATTTTTTTTGTCTTGGATTCATTGATTAAAAAAATATATTAATTTCAAGGTAAAATCAATCTATCATTATCTTTTAATCTTCTTAATTAATTTGTATTTAATGATTGAGTTTATTTTCCACAATTTTAATGTATTTTTCACCTGTTTTTATCGATACGCGGATATAGTAGCAAAACAAACAATATTATCAAAATATATATAATAACACGTTCGTCAGTCATGGCTAATTTGTAACTAATTTGTTGAAATTTTAAACAAATTTGAGAATGAATATAAATTGTAAAATTAGCGGTTTCTTTTTTTTGGGCCATCTTCGCATATTTATATCCTCTTTCAAAGAAAACTTTTATATATAAATAAAATCAAGTTTTAGGGTGATTTCCTTAAGTTATTATCACTGATGATCGTTTAGAAAATATTTAGTGTACAGAAAAGTGTAATTAATTTAAATTATATCCATTCAAAATATTTGCGATAACTTTCTTAAAACTTTCACTACGAGTGTAACGCGTTTTAAAAATACGTCAAACTCAAAACTAAGCTGAAAAATTAATTATCAATGTTGTAAAATAAAATTTTAAATAAGTCTAGAGAGTCAAAGGCAGGCTCTTGCTCAACAATCCTCAATTTAATTTAATTTGAACGAGCTTAAAAATATTGTCCATCTTAACAAAACATCTTTTTTAACATAGTTATATAGATCACTACGCCATTGATAAGGTGTAAAAAATTAGTAACTAGTTATATTTTTTAAGAAACTAATTATAGTTATGTTTCAAAAGTAATTAGTAACATTTTCGTTATATTTCAAAAATATAATAGTTACACTTTATAAAGCCATTTATATTTTTTAACTTTTGAGCACCAAATTAAGTTAAGGTGTTAATCAAATATTATCAATTGGAAATAAATGGTGGAAATTTTTACAACAGTAAAAAAAATTAATTAAATATTTGCAAAAAATTTACAATTTTAAGCCAACTAAAAACTGATGAGATAAATCAATTTAAATAATTTAAAATCAAATCAAACCTAAAAGTTAATAAGCACAAATAGAATTTAAAATTAAAAAGTTTTTCCAATTAGAATGATACCTACAAAAATATGCTATATAAAAAATATCTCATCAAGAAGCAGTTGAAGTTATTAAACAAAATCAGTTTATTGAAATGAACTTCTTTATCGATTTCTAAACTTTTACTACTTAAAATTTCATTCATAATATAATATGTCGTCGAATAATAATGAAAGAAATTCAAATCAATGATTAAAAATTTTTTAATCAAAAATATAGGGGCTATATTTCGATCATATTCTTTCTGTTATCCTTTTCTCGTACGTTAATTACGTTCGTCGTTTTTATAATGGGATTAGTGAATAAGTAATTTAGATTAGAATATCAACTACGTATTATTTATGCAATTTTTTATATTCAAATATAAATAATTTGTAAATAAATGATTTAAATTGTGTAATTAACCCTTGAAGAATAACATGTAAGCATTCATGGGGTGAATACGGATCAATTAAACTACTATATCTCAGTCTCAGTCATTCATTCATTTTTCATCATATTTATATAAAATATTTTAGAAAACATTCATCTATCTAATATGTTAATTATTTAAAAATATGATCCATTAATAACAATAATGTAAGAGTTATTATCAGAAACCTGCAGGCCCCACCCTGGGCCGTATTTTTTTTAAAATACCCAAGCCAAGGCCTACAAATTTTTTTAAATACCCTGGCCGGGCCGAATACTTATAACCATTATTCTACAAAAATTAAAAATAAATAATATAGTGCTGTAAAGTAACGTCAACGACGTTATATTTTTGAAGAAAAGGAACGTCATATGGCGTAAGCTGTGTTGAGCACTGAGCACTCTTGTTTGTCTGATAAAAATTTTGAAAATCAATTGTTGCTAAAAATAAATAAAAAATTGTTACAAAAAGATGTTATCTCATATATAATTTTATTATAATTATATATATGAAATTTTTTTTATAATATATTCTTTTTGCATAGTTTTATTTTATTACTTTATTATATATTGTCGGAAAAGAATAAATATTTTTTTGTATATAATATTTAATTTTTTTAAGTAACGAGTAACCAGTTACTTTTTGAATAGTCGGTAACGCGCTTTCCTTTTTAAAAAGGTAAACAGTAATGAACGCGTTCCTTTTTTCAGACGTAACGAGTAACGGTAAAGCGTTTCTTTTTTGTAGTAACGTTTACAGCACTAATAATATATTTTGAATTGTGTATCATAAAACAATATATATTCATTTATCATATTTCCTATTTCCATTTTTCGATCCTCACAGTAAATATTTCTAGTAAAATATTATTCAACTAATCAATATTTTAGTCTGATATTCAATCAAATTAAAAACATCAAAGATAAACTCAATATTTAAAATATATAGGGGAAAAATTTATTTTCTATAAGTATTTTATCTCACTTTTCCTCTGTCGCAATTGCATAAGAGGGAGAGAAGGCAAAATGACTGATACATGTATAAAAGACTATACTAAATTACAAGAGGAACCGTAAGGAAATTACTATCATCTAGTTGACTTGAAATTGTGGTGATTCAAACTCTCCTTTTACGACAATTGAGGAAATAATATAATTTGAAAAGTTATATATGGATTTTCGCCATAAAGGGATCCGTTAAATGCAGAATAGGTATGCATATTTTAATTTTTTTTAAAAACCAAGGCCTAAGAAATGACAAACCCTGACCGAAATTTTTTAAAAGAAATCAGGGCAGAAAGAATTTTTAAAAAAAACTAAGCCGAATTTTTTTTTTTAATCTGGTTAGGGCAAATGGTACCTCTGAAGGTCTCTGGTTATAATAAAGTTAATCAAAAAAATTTAATATATCTTAAAAAATTATTTTCCATATTAACAAATTATTTTAACATAAAATAAACAATAATCTTTATTTTTATCAATATTAACAAATTAAAAATATTGGTAGGTAGGATTTTAATTATCTTTGAGCAGATAAAATTTGTATATCTCAAAATATATCTTGTTTAGCCAAAATCATTAAACTTCTGACAAATCTAAACCATAATATATACATAGGTAATAAAGTTATTCTTAAAAATTTAGGGTTCATATGATTTTCAAGGGAATAGCATAGTCTATGTAATATTTTTACCTTTTAAAAATAAGAATTCACTTAAAACGCCTAAAATAGCAAATTTTCTGTGGGGAGGGGGGTGGGGGGTAAATTTTATGAACCCTCGGTAAATATGGCCCTATCTTAGAAGAAAAATAGTTAAATCTCATAATCCGATCCATTATAATTTGATATTTTATATAATGAGATATTACTAAGCTTAGCGCAATAAATATAAATAATAATTCAAAATTAAATCATCTTTTAAGATGGTGACCTAACCATTATGAACATGATGGAATCATTATTAAAATTTGTATATTATTTTTATTTTACCGCATAATCTCACGCAGCCTTTTATATATTTGTCATCTTCGTAAAATTTAATCATATGCGGAATACGTGAATTTAATCTAATATAAATATTTGTCGTTTCGTTTTCATTCGATAGTTTTGCATATTTAAGAATTTATTTGAAAGCAGAACTATTAATTTGATAGTCGCGATGACAAAAATGGTTTGAAATGATCAGTAATTTGTATTTTATATTCTATCATAATCTATTTCATTTGATATATACATTTTAATTATCGAAATACATGGAAGTAATGTAAATTTCTTTTTTAGGTATTAGACATAAAATACCTCTTGATGTAATATATTTTTGTTCAGAGATATTTTTTAATATAAAATTTACAAATAATTATAATTTTTTTTATAAATTTTTATTTTTTTATTTTATGTAAAAAATGTTTTTGGTTATTTTATATTTTCATTTTATTTTTAAATATATATTTAAAATCAATATTTCCTATTTATAAACTATATATATATATATAAATTAAAAATTGCATTTGCTTAATTTTATAAAATAATTCATGATGAATAAATAATTTATATAAATTCTTTGGAACACAAATAAAATAATATATATTTCAAATTAATAATTATTATAATAAAAACAAGAATTTGATATGCACAGCACATAGAATGGAATTAATTGTTTATCTATTTTTCATAAATAAAACGAACGCGATCAATTTATTTCAATTATATTTTTTCATAATAAATAATATTATTACGTAGATATCTTTATATATTTTCTTCCTTTCCATGATTATTTATCGTCTGCTATCTACTTGTCTTGTTTATAAAAATTATAATAACACACCTTTTTTTTAAAAAATTATTCATTATTTATTCACCTATTCATTATTTATTTAAATTAATATTTTTTAACAATAATAAAATACCTCATCAACTTTTTTATAAAAGAAAGAAATATTTTATCCTCAATCTCTAATCAAGGAACATAACGATTATTTTATTTTACAAATTAATGCGTTTTAAGATAAATTAAAATTATATTTAAAAAAATCGCAGGTAAGCTATAAAAGGTGTGAAATGATTTTTCAAAATGATTTAGAAAATTAAATTATCACAAAGCGTGTAAAAAAAAAGAATAAATTATATTTTTTTTTTATTATCTTTTATCGAAATATCTTATTTATGATTATAATAAAAACATACTAAAATAAAATATAGGAAAGGATAAGCTTTCATTCTCATCATGATGATAAGAAAGGCAGGGGGGGGGGGGGGGGGGGTGAAATAAAAGTTATAAAGAAGAAAGAAAAAAAAATAAACAAATAAATATAATAAAAACTATAAATTTATTAGCAAAGTTTTACTGATGTGAATCCGGGGTTCGCTCCAAAAGTGTATTGTCAAATTTTTACCTATCTTAAATTTCGAGCAAAGAAAAAGGAAATTATTAATATAATATGCGTGATTTTACAGAGGTATTATTTCCTAGTTTTTACGGTCACACGAATAATAAATTATATGTTTTATCTGAATACGAATAATCATTATTCGATTCGAATAAAACGAATTATTCGTAATATTTAATAAATTGCTTAATAAATCTAACATTTGTCATTTCTATTTGTTGACCTGCCAATCTGACAGGTGATGTGTTTGTGTTTATAAAAATTCTAGCACAAATTCAAAAATTTCTAGTGAAAATTTAAATTTTTATTTGCCACATTTTTTGAATCTCACGAAAAGTTTATTTTTTGAATCTCATAATAAATTATATTAAAAATTACATAAACCAGAGGTATATAAGAATATATTACATCTCTACAATAATTATTGTTAGCTAGCCTAATTATGTTAGAGGAGAATGCTTCTGATGAAATTATTCTTGATGTTGAAGATGAGAAAATTTCCTCAAAAAAGAGAGCAATCATATGGGATCAATATCAAATCCTTAAAGACGGTGAAAAGGCTGATTGCAATCATTGCAAGAGTATTATAAAATGTAAAGGCAAAACAACATCTCCTCTTATTAATCATTATAATAGGTTTCATTCACACCTTGGTAAAAAAAATAATAAAATTGGCATTTTTTTAAAGTCTACACCAAATTCTTCAAAAAAAAATTAATTTTAAGGATAATTTATTAAAATTATTGATAAATAATAATAACATACCTTTTAAAATTATTAATTCAAATGATTTTAAAAATTTTATAAGTGATCTTGATTATTCTGTAAAATCAATATGCTCCAATACTCTTAAATTGCACATGTATAATATATTTGCAGAAAAAGCACAGTTGATAAAGGAAAAATATATAAAAATAAAAGTCAGATTAATTTTTCATCTGACATTTGGACAAGTAACACAGGTTCCTTTTTTAGGGCTAACAGCCCATTTTATTGATTATAATTTTAAAATAAATAACATAATTTTGGATGTCAGTCCAATAAATGAAACACATTCAGGTGAAAATATATTTTAAGCCTTTGTTAAAATAATTAAAATTTATAATTTAGAGAATAAATTTTTTATATAACTTTAGATAATGCAACTAATAATAAAACTTTATTTATACATTTTCTTTAAAATATCCTTTAATAAAAAAAGAGCACATCCGATGCTTTGCCCATGTAATTAATTTAATATCCAAAGAAATTTTAAAAATTTTAGATTTTTCAATTCTAAAACCTAGAAACATTTTTAGAATGATTCGTATGTGGTGGAAGGCAAATGCATATCGGATCCCCATGCTCTCGAAAATGGCAAGGGATTATCTATCTATACAAGGAACATCAACTGCTTGTGAAAGGCTTTTCTCAGTTGGAACTAATTTATTGTCAAAAAACCGCAGTTCATATAAAAAAGAAAATAAAAGAAAAACTCTTTGCCTTAAAAATTGGCTTAAATTATAAATTAAATTAATAATATACATTTTAATTTTGTTTATAACTTGATTATATATTATTTATTATCAGATTATTGGTTACATATTATTAGAATTTTTTCTGTTTAAATTCAAATTTGTAATAAAAAAAATTTGTCAATATTGAGTATGATTTATTTTATTAAAAAATTAATTCGAATTATTTGAATAATTTAAATCGAATACAAATAGTAGATTTTATTATTCGTACGAATTCAAATAACGAATCGAATATAATGCACTATTCGATTTTCGTTTTTGAATAGGCCTACTATTCTTATATTTTTATCTTATCAACAAATTGGATTCCTCCAACTTTTTAGCGGTTTAAAATTGTTAGGTTGTACATCTTAAGACCACAACCCAAACACAGACCGATTTATAGACAAACCATTGAAGCTGGGGTATTTAAAAAATCAGTTAAGTGTAAATTTGTGTTATCAAAATTTTCTCTAGTTTTAAATATCTGAACACGAATGTTGGTTCCCAGGCTTTCAATATAAAAAATTATTAGACGAATAATATATTTTCCTTATTAAAATTTTAGAATCAAATAATTTTGTTATTCATATTCGTAAAATACAAATCGAATAATTCTTTTTAACTTGTGAGTGATAATTAAATAATATTTTTTTACGTAAGCTTTATTCTTATCATCTTTTGTTCTTCAATTCAATTTCCTCTAAGAAGTCAAGTAAAAGATATTTTTCAGGCCCGAGTGTACATGGGCAGGGTTGTATTTTAAATTTTTTAAATCCAGGCTGGGCCTAGAAAAAATTTTTAAAAATAGCAAGGAATTTTTTTTTTAAAAAATACCCACCGAATATTTTAACTATTACCTACAAAAATTAAAAAGAAATGTAATTTTTAAAAAAAATCCGGCCAGGTCTGGAAATATAAAACCTGGGCCGGGCCGAAAAAATTTAATCCGATAAGGATCGGGTCATGCAAATGGTATCTCTCCAGATCTCTGATATTTTTTAAACAAGGGTTTTGGAAAATTACAAGTCACATTTCAATTTAAAATTTTTTGTTTATTGAAGGAGAGGGGGTTAATTCGTGTAGTCACATTTCGTTAATATCATTAGAAGCTAACACTAACTCCTCCCCTTTCTCCCTAAAAAATGAATATAATATGGCATATAGAACAACATTTTTTAAAAAAATAAGTAATAATGATTTAAATTTTTTAAAAAGTGACCATAATTTAAGTTTAAAAAAAAATTTTTTTTAAATTTCAACAACTAAAAAAAATTAAATTTTTTAAAAATGTAATTCGGGCAAATAACTTTAAAGACAAGGCCTAAAACTATCCAATAAAATTTATGGTGAAATAAAGAAAATCGAAGTATAGGTCTTCTCCCCCTTCCTTAAGAAACTCCTGAATAAGCCTATGAATGAGGAGGTTAAACATAAGTTGTTAATGACAAGTGCACCAACTGAAAGAATTTTCAGAGTTGTCATGCAGTAACTCAAACTCTAAAAAAAATATACAAATCAATATTAATTATTGTTGTAGGTTGGAGAAATTTAGGGCTGAAAAATAAAATAGAAGAAATAAAATTAAATCCGAATTTCTTTATTAAATTCTATATAAATTAATCAATTATAAATTAACATAAAAGGAAAAAGTAACAAAAAAATAAAAAGAAACATAAAAAAGAAAAAGATTAAAAATTAAAAATTAAGAAATTTTTATGCGAAAAATGAAAAAAGTTAATAATAATTTTGTATAACAATCTTTTCTTTTTTTATCCAACAATTATTCACATTTTATAATCATTCATTTTAACATTTTATTCATCTTTAAATTAAAATAAAGTACAATCTAGTTTCTGAAATATGAATATTACAAAAATTAATCTCCTTTCTCTTGAAAACATTATAACAAAAATTTACATGTCCACAACAATTATAATTATTTTGTTCATTTAATTGATTGGGGAGGGGGCGAACTCTCTGGTAATCGTGCTCCTCCCTAGTGATGCAGTGAGTCTTTCGTAATTGACACATAGTTTAGGACTCTACTTCATTGGCAACTTTTACATAATAAATGGCCATAATTTTTAGAGTTTTCTATGTATGATCAGGGTTGTCAGGTCTCCCCCATCAGCGAGAGACTCCCCAATTTTTAAATTTAAATGCAAACATCTCACTCCCGTAAAACTACCGCAATTGGAAATCTACCGCAAAAATCTACCGCAATTTTTAAATTTCTCCCGCACAATTTTTTTAGCATTTTAACGTTTTTAACATATAAAATAATA